GAGGGCACTCTGAGGGAGATATGCCGATAATGTGCGAGGGCTTTTATTGACTTGATCGGTACAGGGTCACGTCCATACCGGTTCAGAAACAAGGAGAATGTACGGACAGCTTGGTCAGAGGGAGGGAGGAAGAGCTCTTCGAGTTGAGATGTGTCTAGCCAAATGGTGGATGCTGAGCAGACAACTTGTCCTCAGATGTGGTGGAAATCTGGTTCCTCTGCGGCACTCGGCGTAGTTTGCCAGATTGCCCAATCGGCGGCCACCTTGTCCAAATGCCCGCTTCAAGGCGCCATTCACTGCACCGTCCATGCTCTTTCTTCCATCGCCACACGCTCTTTGGGAACTGATGAGAGTGGTTCTCGTTAAATGAGGTGTTGTGTTTTTACATTCCTTGTGGCAACTAACTGCAAGCTATAGACTAATGACGGAGTCCTGAATTACACTGTATCCTTAACACCATGCTGTACGCTTCAAATGACAAACCAGCTCCTCCCAAGAGCATCCTGCGACTCAGACTTTTCGGGTAACTGTCCAACCTGACTTATACACCGCTTCTTTACACACTCCGAGCACCCAGGTCGTAAGTTACTTTGCCTTCGTGAGCCGGTGGTAGGACCGCAGGTTTTGTGATGAAACCGGCCACGATGAATATCGTGACAATGATGGCCTCCATCAGAACTCCCAAGATGCCGTGAACAAGGATGGCGGACCACTCCAAGCTCCAAGAGCTGAACCATTTGGGATTGTTGGCGAAGACGCACAGAAGAGAGAAGGCCATGCGGACGGCCATAAAGGGCAGAGCCAAGGCAACCGCGAATAGAAGGCCGCGTTCGCCAGGCTGAACATGACCGATCTTCAAGAAACAATGTCCTGTGATGAGGAAATCGGCGACCAGAACAACCAGGAACAGACACACCGCGGCTTTTAGTTCGGTGAAGCCCTCCGAGACATTAGATTGGCTGTCGCTGAAAAGATTCGTGCTCGCGACGACGCTGAGGATGAGACCAACAAGACTGGGGAGGTGAAGGAGCTGGAATACCCGATGGGGCAGACCGTGTGGTGCCATGCTGTCCTCAACACGATCTAGGAGGGCCAACGCTGTGGAGAGAATTGCTGACAGGCCAAAGCTAGTCATGACATCGTACGTGATGGTCAAGCCGCTGGATGGATGCTTGACATCGATAAGAGAGGTGATTGCGCCGATCAGTCGGAATAGACAGATCATGACGAGAAACCTCCAGCCGAGTCGTTTGTGATGGCCATGCTTGTAGACGATATAGGCCGAAGCTATCAGAGCTGGGGTGAAGTAGATGAGTTCGAGGATATCCAGTATCTCGAATGCTGAGACGCCCATGGTGAGAGATGTGATTTGTAGGGTTTCTTCGTAGTAATGGTGTCCTTCTCACTAGTTTAGTGACCGGTGTAAATTGGGACGTCCAGCTGGTTGTGAGGATGTGTGGTGCTGTGCCTTATAGGCTTGCCATTTGACGCAGATGGTGCTGAGGGCATGGAACAACATTGCTATATATCCTCGATAGGGACATGAGGCTATTGAACATTCTTTTTGTGACGCCTTGAAGAAGAGGCTTGGGTTCGTCAATGCGAGGGCAGGAGGTGACCAGTTGGGGGTTTCTGCCTTGTTGAGGGGGCTGTGCAACCAATGTGAGCGTTGTAGCGATAATGGACTGAAACGGTTAGCTATGCGAGGCGAGATAATAAGCCACTAAGCCAATGGCCTTTCTCCTGACCATGGACTTCGTATTTGTACCTAACGAGTAACTACTCCCGACTGCAGTCCCAGGAGAAAAACTTTGGCCCTCGTTATAGAAACCAGCCAACCTAGTTGCAAACTTTCTCATGTCCATGCGTGCAACGTTCTCCAGATTTCATCTGGAAATTATCCTAAATACTCACACCAAGGTGGTTTCTTCCATCTTCTCGGCCTCCGTCATGACTGACCCGAACTGTCCACCAAGACTTCGATGTATGCAACTCCAATAAGCCAAAAAAAGTCATGTTCTTCGGGTGTCAGGTCACTTCCCTAGAAGCTGGTGCGGCGCGGCCTGGCATGATCCATTCTCGACGTCCACACTCGATTTCCAGGCCATAGCACGAATGGTGTCCATCCTCTAGTGAAACGTCATGCCAAAACATGATGGAGGACGAGCAAAACTAATCACGTCGTCCTCGAGACGATGAAACTTCAAAGGGTACAATTCCACCTTGTGGCGAACCTCTCCACGTTCGACGATATCTGGGGTATGATATACAGTAGAATCCCTGTCAATCCGCATCCTTGACTACCACCAGTGCATGAATAGATCCCCCTATGCAGGGAATCTGCGGCATAGGACTGCGGCAGCAACGCCATCCATGCATCTCAGTGACTTCTGTAGAGCGGACTTGAGAATGTTCGGAGAGCAGACTGTCCAAGAGTGACACTGTGATCAGTCCGACCCTGGGGATCGTCCTCGTAGGAAGCAGCAGATTCCAGCAGGAAAAGGCGAACCTCTATTTCTCCCGCATCCCCCTCGGAGTCTAGGCAGCGCTGCATTAACGATGGGTACATCAATGCGAGAGTCGAAACATCAGTGCCACTACACACGTCATAAAGTCAAAGCAGAAGGCCACCTGGGCGTGCCTTGGACGGCAACGACGCATTCTGTATTGTGATGGGGGGTTTGGGTACTGTGGTACTACCTCAGCCCCAGGTCTCCTGCAGCGTGCGAGGTGCTTCCCCAAGTTACTCGAGAGACAGGCTGTGTACTCGGTGTCCTGTGCCTGCCAAGGTCGAGAACAGTCTAGGCGCTCTCTTGGAGTATTCGTAGGCGAGGACAAGAGCGTGAAACGAGTTTATTAGCCTGAGCGACCTGAGCGACTCGCCCAAGGTTTGGGGCTAAATGGCTAGGACTTGCACAAGTGACGATGGCCTGCGGGGTACAACCACAACCACAAGTAGTAGGGCGATTGGGCGTCTGCTTTGTCTCTGCAGATACTAAATTTAGCCGAGTTGCAGGTGAGTTCCAATGCGTCACGAGCACTGAGAAGGAGTTCGATATTTCTCAGGCCTTGATAGAGATCCACCATGCACTCATGCCCCACCAAGTACCACATTCTGGATGTATGATGTATGTATGTCGGAATGCACATCCACAGGGGAGAACAGCCTTGGGCCTCCAGTTTGCCTGGTCCTTAACTCCTTTTAAACCAAGGGGGAGACAAGTCCACGACGAGATCCACGCCAGGCGAACTAAGCATGTATGGTAGATAGCGAGAGACGTACGAATTTCACCGTACGAGGTACGAGAGATGCCCCGTGACATGTGATTGTTACGATCTGAACATCTCAGCTACTCCTCACTCCTCCATGACCTCACATGGACAAATATTGCTCGATACTATAACGGAATCTTTCATAGCATCGCTCTGAGATACCATCCCAAGTTTATCGCAGGAACAGAAATCGTAATCATCGAGCAAGCATCACACAAGCAGCAGTCTTAGACAACAGGCTCTTGATCATTATAGCTTGGTGAAACCCCAGCGTCCCTCAGCATGTCGTCGAAACCCAACACTGTTGTCCTCGGAACTGCTCTTGGGATAACATCTTCGGCCATATTCTTCGGCGCTAATCTTAGCATCTCATTTTTGACCGTCCCGGTTCTGCTGTTACCATCCCCCAAACCAGCCTTGCCAGCCCCAGCAAACTCTGAAAATACAAACTCTCCAACATCCACCTCTCCCCAGAGACCCGCGACAAAGTTTGGACACCTCGCCCGGCAGTGGCAGGAAGCTTATAACATCGGAAAGAAAGCAGGGCCATTCTTCGCCCTGCTTGCCAGTGGATGTTGGCTATACGCGGCAAAGCACCTGCCATCAGAAGCTAGGCTCCAGCGGCAACTACTCTGGGCTGCAAGCGGTCTCTCGATAGCTATTGTGCCCTTCACATTTGGGGTGATGAAACGGACAAACGACGAGCTAAATCGCCGAGCGGATGCAGCAACAAGAGATGAAGAGGATGACTCCAAAGCACACGCGCAGCAAGGGACAGTCGAGAGCTATCAGACTCACGATCTCATCCGGTGGTGGGCGCAATTGAGCTTTTTGTAAGTGGCAAACACAGGTGGAAGGATACCTTCGCTGACGACATATTGTCCAGGAGATCTTTGTTACATGTTGGGGCTATTGCCTGTGCCACGACAGCTTCAACTCTGTAAAGGCCCTTTCAACCTCGCCTTGTGACCTTACAAAAGCTATGACATCTTATGGAAAAATATTGCTTGAAGCGACTGGAAGGTTAGTAGTGCTTGACGAAGGAGACGTCTTCTTTCGTCGGTTCTTCCAATGTCAAGGTTAGCGAGTTTTATCCAGCGGAGCGGGCACAGAAACGCTGATATGTGTCAGAAGGCGTCAATACAGTATTGGTCTGGCTCGGAATGTTATGTGATAGTTGTGCTTAAAGTACTTGTATGTAAATGCAGAGTAACGTGTTGCGCAATTGCCCCTCATAGCAAACACGCCAAGATAGGTGGTGAAATTCTTGGCAGATTTTCACCACACAACTTTTTCGGAGCCAAGTGCTGCGAACTTCCAGGATTTTGACGACGATACCAAACGACAACCTCTCCACCAATTCATCGCGACCACCTTCCTCAATCCATAATTGTGATTGCTGAGACGCCCGTCTCGACGTTTGCAATCATGGGTGGCGTTACCGTTCGAGATGTCGATGTGAGTGCGACCCGAATAACTTGCTCGCAAGGAAGTCCAACTCGATGTTGTGGGAAAGAGACGCAGTTCTCACTACGACCTTGCGCTTTTGAACGTGGGTTTTCAGTGAAAGAAGTATGGACTGACGATGCGGGTGACGCAGGCACAAAAATTCATCGAGGCATATGCAGCATTTTTGAAGCGACAAGGGAAACTCCGAGTGCCAGGTACGGCTCTGCTCCAGCTCTTTACAACCTACTCTTCCGGAACTGGATTGGGTGCTTGGAAAGATGAATCATCTCGCTGCAAAATATTTTATGGAGGAAGATACTGATAATTCATACTTTACAGGTTGGGTCGACACCGTCAAGACCTCACACTCAAACGAACTGCCTCCCCAATCCGCCGACTGGTTCTACGTCAGAGCTGCCTCAGTTGCCCGACATGTCTACCTAAGAAAGTCCGTTGGTGTTGGCCGTCTCCGAAAAGTCCACGGCAGCACGAAGAATCGCGGTTCTCGCCCCTCACACCACGTCAACGCATCTGGCGCTGTCGACCGCAAAGTGATGCAAGCTCTCGAGGAGTTGGGCATTTTGGAGAAGATTGACGATGACGAAGAAGGTGGCAGCGGAAAGGGCGGACGAAGAATAACACAAGCCGGTGCACGAGATCTGGATCGCATTGCCCAGACTGCTGTGGAAGGCGATGAGGAGGAAGAGGACTAAAAGTTTGCAGACGGGATTGGGAATCACTAAAAGAACCCCAAGTCACCTTTTACTCGCGAAGATGGCAGTCCCCCTCACTGCGAGGGTGGTCGCATGACCAGACTCATCCCGGAGCCTCGGATGGTGTGAAACTCAGTGATTCAGTGATCGGACTGACTGATCATGGAGCTGGCCTGTCTAGTTGTGAATGTTCTACAACATGGCTCAGAACAACCGATAAGGGCCGAATGAATTTATTTCAGAGTTGCATCCACTGTCTTCAGGTTTCCCAGCTTCGCTTCTCCATGGTTACTCGTACTTGCGCAAGGGGTTCGGACCAAGGTGCTTCATGTCCAGCCTGTGACTGCCGGCTATGAGGCTCATGACAGAGCCACTAGTACCACTACACGTTGTCCCAATCCCCGCCTACTCTGTCTAATCCGTTGACCCGAAACCGACACTCAATGCTGTGAATTCAACGAAGGGCCTGATTCCGTCTGGTGCTGTTAGTGTCAGCCTTGTCGGCAAACGCGGGCTAATCGCACAGCCCTGCTGACTTGGCAAAGGGGGCCAAATCCACCTTCTAGAAACTGGATTTGGGGGCTTCAATCTACCCAATCCACCATCATTCTCAAGCACGCCTTCCTATATGGCTCAGCCCAGAGCTTGTCGTTCGCCCTCGAAGCCAATCACCTCGTGACACCGAGACGGATGTCCACTCGATATTCTCTTCGGAGCTGGGCAGACACTTGCTTTCCCACCTTTACTTCTAGGACTCGCTACATAGCCTTTCAAGGCGTCTGTTGTACTGATAGACAAGACGGCACGAAGCTCCCTTCGTCAGGCTGATTGGCGAATTTGCTCGCAGCTGTGCACCTGACAACCACAGAGAGCGGCGCAGCTCCACCTTGACTGAGAATACTCGAACAGTCGGCCCGCGCACTTTGTATAGTGTTCTTGCTATGGCATGGCGCGCATGGTTAGGCAGCACGGCTATCATGAGGATACCACCAATGCCTCCACCAAGAGCCTCTCTCCTCCCACCAGGCATACTTGGGACTCATCTCAAGCCGTGCCAGCCGAGGAACAGTTCACCTTGGGTATTGAGTCATGTTTTAAGCCTTCGTTTGACCGTTGCCATGGGCTGGTTCTTGTGCGTTTGTCTCCCAAGCCCTGGTGTGCCATTTCCCCCAAGATAGCAAACCTCATACTCATTTCCATGTCACGACCCAAGTGGGGCGATGCAGCTTCCCATTCATAGTATTCAATGACTTTTGTTTCCCTGACCTCTTTGATTTTCTCCCTTCTAACCTGCTACATTGTCTATCTGTACGTCTCAATGTCACAAAAGGTCACCGAAGCCTCCAGCAATGAGGAGCGTCTCCCAGACGAGACTTGGGAAGCTTTTAAGGATGTCGACTTCAATAGGCGACCCGGCAACGACTGGACAGTACAGAATATACCACCGGAGCTACAGGGAGTTGAAGACGACTCGAACTTGCCTGAAAAGCTCAAACAAATTCTTGCTTGGTCATTGTTCCCTGACCTCCCTCCACCGCCACCAAGCAATGACAGGCAAACTGTTCAACGGACGGAAGGGTTTAATGTTCGAGACTCTGTCCATGTACAAGACGATGACAATCCTCATCAGACGATTGCAGAGTCGAATGGTCGCTCTGTGGCGTCTGAGGGATTTGACAACGACGACACATCTGAATCTCGAAGCACACAGTCCGAGCGCCGTTCTGAGAGAGGTCGACTGAGAGCACGATACCTTGGAGGCGGAGTTCTTGGGTCTACGCTGGGCCTTCTCACTACCCTCAAGGGCAAAGCGGACAGGGAGTCATTGCAGGCTTCTGCCAGTGCAAAGACACTGTCAAAGTCTGCGACTCAGGTTGAATGCACAAGTTGCTTTGAAGATGCTTCCGAGCACGAGACGAGGAAACTTCCTTGCAACCACTCATATTGCAAGTCCTGCTTGACGACCCTGATCACAACCGCCCTCCAAAACGAATCTAGCTTTCCGCCCAAATGTTGCTTGACAGAGATTCCATTGCAGACGGTTTTGTTGTCACTCGATGCTAAACACAGGGAGTTATATAAAGAGAAGGCTGCTGAATATTCTGTTGCAGCTCAAGAAAGATGGTATTGCCCGAACACAAAATGCTTGAAATGGATACCACCTTCAAAGCTGCAACGCATCCGCAGATTGAACATGAGATGTCCCCATTGTGCAACCAAGATTTGCAGTATATGTCGCGGCCTGGCTCATCGAGATTCTGCAGATTGTCCTCAGGACTTCGGTCTCGAAGCCACGATGGTGCTAGCTGAACTGCAAGGCTGGCGACGATGTTTCAAGTGCCGCACCATGGTCGAGGTAATGTTGTATTTATTTGAGTTATAGAACCGGGCTAACGATTACCAGCGCTCGCAAGGTTGCCGACACATGACCTGCAAATGTGGTGCGCAGTTCTGTTACTCTTGTGGCGCAAAGTGGCGGAGTTGCGCTTGCACCGAGGCGGACGAAAACAACCGTCAAGAAGAGTTGAGACGCCTTAGAAATGAAAGGGCCGAGATAGCGGATGCCGAAGCTGCGGAGATTAATCGAATAATCGCTCAAGTCGAGGAGGTGGAGCGACTTCAGGCCGAGGAACGTCGAAGAGAAGAACAGAGACAACAAGAAGAGTGGCGCAGAGAAGAGGCTGAACTTGCGAGGCTCGAGGAGCAGCGCCTGCAAGAGGAGGCAGATAGGCGAGCTGAAGAAGAACGAATGGCCCAAGAACTGCGACGGATTCTCAAACTCTCGGTCGAGGAAACATGTGATAAAATCCAGTCTGCATGGAACGGTATTCTGCAAACACAGAAGAAGACCCTGGACAACAGACACTTGAACGCCGAACAACAATATATGCTTCTCCGTGACGAGGCATGGGCGCGACAACAGGAAGGGAATAGCGAGATATTGGCAAAGATGGAATCCAATATTTCGAAGAGGACCACCAGCGTCAAGGAAAGGCACGATATGGAGATGAGAACCTTTGACACTGAGCAGCAAGAGCTGGAAGACGACATGTTCTTGGAAATTAAGCTGCACCTCCGTGGGAAGCAGGACAAGGAAGCACGAGAACGCCGTCTTCAGGAACGATTCCAGAGGCAGCGCGAAGAGAAACAACAAGAAATGCTCTCGAAGCATCAATCCGAATTAGACGCCCTGCAAATGAATGCTACAATGGAACTCCAAGGCCTGACACTGTCTAACGAGAGCAAGCTGGCCAGACTTGAGCACAAATCCCGAGTGGATTTCGAGCTTTCGCTGTTAAATGTCGCAGCAGATCGCGCATGGTTTGGCTTCCTCGCAGAGAGACGTCAAAACATGGTAGACGAAAATCGGCGGTTGATGCTCGAAGCCCTGAATGCTGATCAGGAGCCGGTTGGCTTGACCGAGGAAACGGCCGCAACGGTTGGGCCATATCTGGTAAACGTGCAGCGCACAGCATGTGGGGTCGACTCGTCGCCTCGCCTTGACAGTGCACCTCCTCAGGAGAGCAGACAGGAGCCGTGGAAAGAGGTGCTGTCACCGTCACCGGCAAGCAGTGCATCACCAGCACGCTCTCTGTTCGAGCTTGCAGCGACGTCCCAGCAATTGTTGAACAGTCTAGATGTATCAGCTACCACTCCAGAGCCGAACGACGAGAAACCACAACCCGGTGCTGTCGCCCACCTCACAGCCAACACCGCCTTTGCGTGGATGACTGGTGACAACGCCCCGGAAAGCGCTCACAGTGCCACCGCGCCCCGCTCTCCGCCATCTCGGAGTCATGGACTCTACCGCCAACCTCGTACACACGCTGCACCCATGAGATTTGCGGCGACCAGCGACCTTGTCCCGATGGCAATGTCCGGTGCGCTGCGCCAAAGAGCAACTTCGGCACCACCCAAGGACCATGCTGAAGTTCCGGCTTCAATTCCTACCCCTCTACAGGCTGGGAGACGGCGATTACAAGCACATTCAGAGGGTTGGGACGCACCAGAGCACTACGTGAACACTCGACCACCGACACCGCCAGTGCCCAAAGTGCCGCTTATCTACCTCGACCAACAGTCCAGTACCCGGGCGGGGCTGGGGGAGAGTTCATCCACGAGCACGATGCAACAGCCGAGAGTACTAGGTGGGTTAGTCCCCACCAACACGACGAACAAAGACAGTCGTCACAGCGGCCATCGACGACAGGTATCCTCTTCCTCGTCCTCGACCTCGGCTGCCAGCTCGCTCCTGGCTGCTTCAATTGCAGCCACATCCCGCTCGTCGTCGTCGTCCCCTTCTACCCGCGCAACGAGCATCCGCAGCAGCGGCGACAGCCTCTTCCTGCACAGTCTGATCACCTCGACGACCAACGCCGCCACCGCGGCAGGCCGACCATCGACGTCGTCGCTCTCGCCCGTCTCGCCGATATCACCCAGCGGCGAAAACGACCGGACGACGAAACAGAAACCCAGTTCCAGGTCCATGTCGAGTCCTAGACACGGGCAAGGGCCACGGAGGCGGCCGGCGCGATCAGTCTGGTCGATTCTAAGCTGAGCATGACATCGTCAATCCATCCATGGGAGGGGAACTCGGAGAAAGTTTGTTCAGCAACACATTTGGGCATGGGGGTGATTTGAGATGGTATTAATTTAACTATTCTTGTGCCCAACTCTCTGCAAGTTACAAGTAGAGGGGGTAGTAGTCGGCGAACGAAGGCGAGGACATGAGAGAGGGCGAAAAGGAGAGGGGGGGCATATTCGAGAAGGATGTACCCAGGCTTGCCAGGTACCTTTGATACCGTATGTAGTATGTGTGCATGTATTTACCACGTATGTACCAACAGAGTGAGTGAGAGAAACCAGGGACTACCATAATTTGCCCAGTGATACGGTATCACAGCCTATCATTTTCATTTCAATTCCCTCGCGTCTAATTGGTTTCTGCGCTAGACTAGAGTAGCCCGTGGCGTTGGGAGGGGGGGGGGGGGAGGAAAGGT